AMKRCYCCGSRYAAGMAGGACTTCAGTGCAACGTTGAAAGGCCGCGCAAGTTGTACGCATTTATTTAAAGAAGGACAGGGAGTGCTCAGTTGTTTATTTACTTTATTCTCGATCGCTAACATGCGCACAAACCTTCTCGAAACAACTTCATCTGAATATAAATTCGTTTGTCGACTACTCGTTCTTTTCAGTTCGTACCGCCTCCATTTCAATTTGATTTATGTAAAATTCGCTTCATCCGAAATTCTTAAATTTCAGGTGAAAGCGCAGATGCCGCCAACCTCTTCAGTTTGTTTGCCTTGGACGTCATCATGAGGGCCGCATTCGGCATGGAAACTAATCTCCAGACAAAGCCCGATCCAGAGTTTGTGGACAAGGCCAGAAAAGTTTTCCAAACACCTCTGTGGATCCGATTCTTTTCCATGTTTCCCTTTTGGGAATACTTTAGCAAGTATGTGAGTCTCCTTCAGAACGCCGACTACTTCTTGGGTCTGGCCAGGAGGATCCTTGAACAACGGCAGCAGCAAGATCATTCAGGCAACAGAGATCTGGTTCAGCTAATGTTGGAAGCACACGAGGAGACTGTCCACGGCGTCAGTAAGCTTAGCGACGATGAAGTCACAGCTCAATCCGTGACGTTTCTCATCGCCGGTTTCGAAACGACTGGTAACACCTTATGTAGCACAGCATACTTTTTGGCCACCTACCCAGAAGTGCAAGATCGCATCATCCAGGAAGTCGACGAGGCTCTTGACTCCAGCGGTAGTAAGCCCCTCTATGATGTCGTGCAAAAGATGCCGTACCTGGATCAGGTCATCTCGGAGGTCCTACGCCTCTGCGGTCCCGCATTTAGCCTCATCCGTGGCTGCGAAGAAGAGGCTGTCATCAAGGGGGTCCGGTTCCCGAAGGGGATTGATGTCAACATCCCTGCGTATGTTCTACATCGGGACCCCGAGGTCTGGGAGAACCCCCACGAGTTCAACCCAGATAATTTCTCTCCTGAGGCTAAGGAGAGGCGAAACCCTTATTCCTATCTGCCGTTTGGAACAGGCCCGCGTCAGTGCATCGGTATGCGGTTCGCTCTGCTGGAGATTAAGCTTGGTTTGCTGGAAATCCTGCGACGGTTCAAGTTTGAACGCGCTCCTGAAACCGTGACCACACTGGAACACAGGGCTGTGGCACTGATGGCACCCAAAGACACCATCTACGTGAAGATAAAAGCTCGTTGAACCGCTAACTGACAATCTACATGCCAGCTGTGGTCTTTACCACGCTTCCAAAGAAACTGTTTTCACGAGGTCTTTCTTGTGTACGGAAAGACGGAGTGGTGAGCCCTCGTATTAAATGGCAGGGGACGGAGCTTATCACTCTTGCAACTTTCTGCTATTCGTTATTTACAATTTCTATATTCTTGCTATATCGTACCAATGATTATAATCTCAAATCCTAGAAACAACCATTTTAACCACAATCAGATTGTACATTTATTGGCAAATAATAAAAACATTTTAAAATCGTCACGTTGTTCTACTAAGTGTACTGCGTCACGATGTAAAATATCGAAGTCAGTCGATCAATCACTTAACTGATTAATTGATCGGCAAATGGAAACTAATTAATCAGTTAGTTAGGCCCGGTTTAAACGTCGCCTTTTTCATGCACCGAATCTAATTGCTGCATTAAGTGCATGCAAAATGCGACGTTTAAATCAATTAAATGCGACATATTTCAAGTAACTGCGAGTTCAGTCGAATATTCGACTGAAGTTCGACAGTTGATTTAAACGCCGCATTTTACATGTGCCGAATCTAATTCATCAATTGTGTTAAATTATATTTTACCCATAACTCCACAGTTTTGTGCTGCATGACATGCGCGCAACAAGCTGAAGGGAATTGTTAGCGGCACTTGCAGCAGGGGATGTATCATGTAGAAGGAAGGCTGTTGAAGATGCCAGTATGTGTGGTTCTTGCCTCGCTCCGATCGTGTAATGTAGTTATGCAAAACCAATTAAGCTTCAGTTTCGTCCTTCAAGCAAAAACCGCTCTGTGTTACATGACATGCATACGGAGTAGGAAAGCAATATGGCGACTGTTGAGTATAATAGTGTGTGCGGTGGTTCTTACTTCTCTTCAGCAAAGTTATGTAGAAGATGGAGAACGAAGTCTATGAACTTGAATTTGAACAGGAGAGTGAAACGAAAATCAGAGTTTCAGAGGTAACGCACTGCCATCTGCATTATAAATCGCCCCATTCTGTTTACTCGAACGGTGTTTGAAAGGTATGAATGATCTTAACGCAAAATATGCTCCTTATCATTGTCAGCCGCATTGGTCGGAAACTTGGAGCGGAGTCAGCTGGAAATGAACAAGTCGCTCGCGCTCAGCAATTTTATTCGGCAAAAAAAATGCGACGTTTAAATCAAATCAGCCGAACTTATTCATTCGAGTCGACTAAAATTAATATTTGATTCGGCGCATGTAAAATGCGACGTTCAAACCGGGCCTTAGTCGGTTGGTCGGTCGGATGGCTTCGCGATCAGTCGGTCAATCGGTCGGTCAGTCAGCTGGTCGACGGTCGTTCAGTCAGTCGGTCGGTGGTCGGTCATTCAGGCAAAGCAGGCGAAACCATTCCCTTTGCTTTAGTCTTAATCAAACACTTATCCTAAAAAATGGGCTAGGCTTAATCTTTATCCAACAACTCCCTCGTAATTACCATAGACGGGCCAAATCGAAACACGATATTGTTCCCTTAATGACCAGCAAATCATGCAACAACAACAAAAACAACAATTCCAACAACATTTATTTATCATGCCAAAAAAGAAAAGAAAACAAACGAAAGACAAAAATGACAAAAAGAACGTAAGACACTGAGCAATGAAAAAAAGGGCGTAAGAAAAGGCGCAGCTTCTCATTTTAAGGTCGGCCCATACAGGGATATACAAAGCGGGGACAACGCCTTGGTGTGTACCCATAGCACGCATACTGCAGGAAAAGTACTCGAGCTGGTGGACACGTAACGGATATTGCTATGTTGTAACGGGCACAGTTTGTGAATCTACACCAGATGAATTTTATGCAGCATGTGTCGGGGACAAAATGTTTTCACCACAACAGAACTTTTTTTATACATACGGGCATTTCATTCGACGAAAACTGTTGCTGCAACATGTCCCCGCCTCATGTCCCCGCAAAATGCCCCCCTTGGTTTGCGATTGGTCAACAAAGAATAATTCATGGCAAAAGCAGTAGATTCTCTGATTGAACGGTTTTAGTTAGAGATCGACCGGTGGATATCTTTGAGAATGAAACTGTCTCATTCCGTTGAATTAGTGAAAATATTAGTTAAGAATCTAGCCAATGAAATCATGTGTCTCCATGCTTTAGAGTCGCTTTTTATCTCATGCCAAGGCCCCCACCAGTTAACAGGGACGGGCGGCTCTAGGGACAAGAATGCCCAAAAGCACTTGACGCGACTGAAACACTCTAGAGGGTTCTAGATATTGCTACTGATTGCTAGTGAGCATGAATACAGTTTTATTTCTTCTCACTTCCTTTCCTCACATTACACTGACTAATCTGAGAGACAAAACCGTTCGTTTTCCTACTGTACACGTAATTTAACACAGCATTGCGCAACCTGTGATCGTTTCTGACGTTATCTGTGCCACTTGGCATGCGTCACAAACTCTCTTCACCACCGGTCAGTAGTACTAAATCGAGAATTCGTGACGTCTGACTGTGCCGCAGGCTAGTGCCACCGCGCTATTGACGTGCGTTAACGGTTGCCAAACAGCGTGTGGTCGATTAAGCACCTCATTGTAGAATATAACGTTGAGAAATTGGAAAACTTCCGCATCATTGTATCTAGAAAGGTCAACCCTCAGCTATTATCACAAACACTCTGTTCCTTGTGCGTTTATTTACAAAGTTTATAGTATAAGCATTCTTGTTATATAAAATTTACTTCTTGAGTATGCATTAGTGGGTCTCGTAGACAGAAAGTTAATTTTTGTATATGAGGCTCCGGCTGAAAAGAGCGAGACAATGTCCTTTATATCTAGCTATATAGTATTTGCAAGTATAATGCAGTTTTAAGGACCGGACGTGACAAGTCATACAAGATATGTAAATATACACTGATTATAAACAAGTAATTCAAACAAACGTCGATATTACCGAGTGATTATGCATAGTTAATATATTTACAGTTTCTCGATATACTAATTGGATGCGCAAATTACCTCAATTAATTAGCCGTTGCTATGAAACTCATATGAACTCCTTTGAAAAAAAAAGAGAGGTTAAAACGTCCAACTGTAAGAATAAATTTTTGAGCGTTTTTGTTGTTGTTGTTGTTTTTTTTTACAGGATTTCGATGTGTTTGTTCACGAGTGTCACACTCCACTCAACAAGCTTGTTCATCTTCAAGGTAGTCAGCACAGGTTTAAGTCTTTTGCATCAGAATATACGAGTTGCTAGCATTCCTCTTCCAGGGACCTTGAATCCCGTCGAAAAGCCTTTTTCATCAAAGGAAAAAAAATGAACATCTTCGTAATTCCCTAGTCTCTCAATCAAACACGAAGCGAAAGGAGAGGCAAAGCGGGCTTGAAATACGAATTTGTCCCCGATGTAAAAAACGTGGAAGGCGGCTTTAGTTGTATTGAAATAGTACACTGCAAGTGCATCGTCTTTAACTGTAAGTCGCACCGATTTCGTGGTGATCTCTGAAGTAAGGGGATCAGTAATATTTAAGGTGTAGTTTCCTACATAAGGCTTCGCGTCAACTGGAAAACTGGAGGAACCCTCCAAATCGAAAAGGGTTTGGTTTAGAACTGGAAGAAGCATCTTGTAGATTTCGTGAGTCATCCTCGACGCCGGTGGACCAGAGCCTACGCCTTTCAAGAAAGAAGTTGAGCTTATGAGCAGGTTTATCCCAAGCTCTAGCTCGGGGACTACCGAGAAGAAAGTGGCATACGAATCAATGACTCCACCTTTACCTCGAACAAGAAAATGCTCAAGTTGTTCCATCTCCCAGGGGGCTCCCCACACGGTGATACCATCGGGAGCAACATTCCCAGGGGACATCATTTCCCAGAGTGTCGACGGCCGGAAGAGAGTTTGTTTGGAAGGTTGCGTAAACATTTTGCCCAACTTCGTCATGTCCTCGAGTGTGGAATACATCTGTCCTGCAGGTGCGACCCAATAGATAATCATGAATGGCATTCTTGAACCGTCTCTAGAGTGCGGAAAAGCCATGTTTTGTTGTGCGTCCTCTGTGATTTCAAACCCGGTGTTGGTCATGTTCAAGGGCTTCAAGATCCTCTCACGTACCCAGCTCTCAAAAGTTTGATTCGTCAGTAAGTTCTCTGTTAGCAGCCTGCCAAGCAAAGCGTAACCAAGGTTACTGTAGGACGGCATCGTCCCTGGAGCCATCACCAAGCTGCGATTCTTCAGTTGTTGTAACTGATCCGCCGAGGTGACGTTCTCGCAGATGTAAAAGCATGGTGCCTCTCGCGGTAGACCTGACATTTGACTCGCAATTTGCCTTACAGTCACATTTTCCTTGGTGTATGGATTTTGAATGCAAAATTCAGGTGCATATTTACTTAGTGGATCATCCAGGGACTTTATTAAACCGTCTTCATAGAACTTGTATACCATAAGAACCACGAAAACCTTGGTGATGCTGCCAATTCGATAAACGGTTTGGTCGTCTGGTTTATTTTCGCCCTTGTAACTCTTACTTCCATAATGACGATTCTGCAAAAGCGCGCGATTTTGATAGAAGACGTTAACTGAAATGGCGGGAAGCTGTGCGTCCGCGTCGACAACAGAGTCCACGTAATCACCTATTTTCTTCAGCGCGTCGGACAACTGTTCAGGAATGGGGTCGACGATAGGAGGAAGTCTTGCGGGTTGATGCGGACATGGCCGGCCAAACTGCTCCGGGTTGGTCGTGGACGCCTCTTCTTTTGGACGATTTTTCCCATTGCAAAACGAATCACTTTGTTCGTCATCCTTTAAGACCTGCCAAATGAATAATCCCGTCATGACAATAGCCACAACGCACGCCATCGCTGCAACGATTTTCCATTTCCTCGATGCTTGAGTGTATTTGAATTGCAGCGATTCCATCACTAGATTTTCAACACTGGCCATAGTGAAAGAAAAGAGTATTCTTGTATTCCGGCTAACGTGACAGCACTACTTGCCGCTGCGATGACCTGCGGACAATGCCCTTATATCTAACTGTTCAGATATATATATGTTATGTTGTGGTTCGATGCCGCGATGGCGTTGTCGTCGACGATGCGTTAATTAAGACTAACCAGTCGTATAAGTTCAAGGGCTGTATTAGAATCGTGCGACAACAATGAAACAATAACACCTGTGTCTCTGTTGTCACGTTCTTAGATGGAAATTCCACAAATATGCATAACAAAGAAATGTCCACCGCGACTCGTTTCTCGGACATTAACCATTTAATTACTGAAAATGAAGATGCTCATTTTAATCTAATGAGGACTCCTTTGTGTAAATTATATTCGTTAAATTTCATCTAACAGGATTTTTTTTTCATGTGTATGAGGTCGTTCGGATCGAAGACCTCTTCAATCAACACGTTTTATACGCAGAGCATAATGACGTAGTACTTAGCGATCGCTATTTGTATGTGTGTTTATTTTATTTTTTAAGTATAGAAAAAATTTGAATAAACATGCCCAGATATTGAAAATATTGCAGCTATATTTTGTTGTTATTTGCATCCGTTCTACTAAGGTAACAGAGAGGAAACGGAACTAAGATAAAGTCACGGAACCCTTTTAGCTTTTAAGCAAATTTTCGATGTGTCAGGGGGACGTTAATGCCCAGTTTCTCGGAATGCCAAATGCATTTGCAAAATAAATTGAGCACGTTTCTCTTGCGAAATCGCCTTACAAAACTAAGAGGCTTAGTTCTAAATAATAATAATAAAAAATGTTTCGAATGTTAATTTGGGGTCATGAAAATATCTGGACTATTGAAGACCATTCCGCACAAAAAGAAGCCGGTAAAAAAAAAAAAAAAAAAAAAACCTGCAGAGAAGTTGCCCGGAGTCCTTAATTTTTAGTTTCTGCGAAATCTTTTTAAAGTTTTAATTTAGCACATTGCTCTTGCAAAATCAACTTATAAAAATGAAAAATAAGCGGATTACTTACGAAAAAGGAAAAATTACGTTTGGAATGCTATTTTTGGGCCATAGAAAAATCTAGACTCTTCTGTACTGATTTATTGCGTTTGCTTTTTACTGGAAGTGGGAAGACCATTTACGGAACGAAGAAAAAATAGTCTATTTTCGTTTGCCTGACTGCTGCAATTAATCCAATACACAGATTAAAAAAAGTCATAATTCAAACCACAAGGATATTAATCCCAATATTTGACTAAAATTAAGGCCGTTTACGACATCCATGATCAAAATTGATATAAAGTCGTCAAAGTACGTCAATATCAGTCTAATTATGCGATATGTTCATTGAGTTTTGTACTGAAACTGTGTGGAATACTCGGAATAAGGAATGCGGAGTTAACTTGTAATACTAAAGCAATACAGTAAACATGTGCCTTGTTGGTGAACAGAGCAGAAGATCGCACGACCTTTTATGACATGAATCGCTTCGGGAAATGCAAAGACGCTCAAAATAAACTCTAATTACATGTTGGTCTATCGCTTGAATAGGCATTTGATTGTCTTTCAGTTATAGTCGAAGGACTCGACAAGAAGGTGTCAAGAACAATCAATTGGTTTGTCATGTTTTTCTTTTCAATTTATATATATATATATATATATATATATATATATATATATA